AACCTTCCACCACAACAATCCCACCCCCTTGATAAACAACCAATCACATTCACTTTATTCACTCGTGTAAAGTCGTGCACCACTCAGGAGAATACAGAAATGCAACGGTTGGAACAGTTTCCCTATGGCTTTAAATTAAGATAATTACATAAAATTCACTTGAAATGAGACAAAGCAATTGTATTTTTTTATTTATTTTAAATATAAATTGTATTGCTCCATTGGCAAAGTGTCTCACTTACCTCCTCAATCCAAGAAAAAAAATGCACTTATTTGAAGAAAAACTGATTTTCTTAGGTTTACATTTTTTGCAGTGAAGGTCTTAGATAAAAGTGGCCAAAACGTAACAATCCTGACTCATCCGATGTTTGTTAGTAAAAGCTGTTTCGAGGTTTTAGGTAAGTTTAAATGTAAATAAGTCATACATCCAGCTTAAAATCTCTTCTTTGTATTCGGCTGCTGTTTCCTGTATTTAAAAACAAACTAGATGTTAATCGGGCAGCTAATATCTGTGCAGGCCTGCTCTGATTTGGACGCAGAGTAATTCCACGTGTTGTTTTCCTGTTGGCAGACATTTTAACCCTGCAGAGGATGTTTCTCAGGTTGTGGGACACCGTGACACACTGTGACTGGAAACCAGGGGGTGAACTTAGGATGTGATAGCTATAATATGGAAAAAAACAAAACACACACACAAACTGGAAATCCTGTTCTCACTTCTAAGGTCAGATTCACCATGAAAACACACGCAGAGGAAGTTTGTTGGGTTTTTTTTAATAGATGAGCAAAGTCAACCTTTAACCGTTTTGGAAAAGAATCCGGTTTTCTGTCTTTATCTGTTTCAGTCTTTAGGTAAAGTTTGATGAGATTGAGGATTTTATTAAGAAAATCGACACTATTTACAGACGGTGGTTAAATGATTTTAGAGCAAAGAAATCTTCATAATAAGGAACAAATTATTGGAAAAATGAAAAGAATCACAGCGGATCTTTACACTGGTGATGACAAACGCAGCTTCAAAGCTGCAGCAGGACAGAACTCTCAAACGTAAGCAGGTAGTGATGCACAGGGGGGCCCCTCAGAACGCCACAGAGGGGCCCCTCACAGGGCCAAGGTGTCTTTTATCAGCCTCCTCATGGTGGTGCTCACTGAGGTCCCCAGAGAGTCAGTGATCTGGTAGGTGATCTTATACAGGTATGGCTGGACGTCCTTCAGGCTGGTGTCAAAAACATTGCCCACCTCAGACTGGGTGGGCATCTTTGGCAGGTATTCATGACGGTTTATGACCTCCACCACGTTGATCACCTTCTCCCCCAGCTTTTCGCCCACTTTCTCCCTGCAGATCTGTCTCTCCTGCTCGTTCGCCAGGTTGACCATGTTGACTTTGATGCTCCACACCTCCCATGGGATGCACTCGTCGGAGAAGGGCCAGCGAGACTTCTTCTTCTGGTAGAACTCCAGGGAGATCTGCCCCATGCCGTCGCTGCTCAAAGCATCCTGCAGGAAAAACAAACAATCCAGTTTATTTCTATGACGCCAATTAACAACATGTGTAATTTCAAGGCACTTTACAGTTCAACAGATCATTGATTCAAAGTTTCCTATCTAAAGAAAACCATTTGATTCCACCGACTCATGACTCGAAGGCAATTCCTCACACTAAGCATGCTTGTAGCGACAGTGGAGAGGAAAAACTCCCTTTTAACAGGAAGAAACCTCCAGCAGAACCAGGCTCAGTGTGAGCGGCCATCTGCTGAGGCCGACTGGGGTTCAAGGAGACAGAAGCAGAGATACAAAAAAAAAGGCGGCCCTGTCGGCCCTGTCCAGGAAACGCACAGCCAGGCAGACGAGCTCCAAGCCAGCTCCCATGTCAGAGGATGAAGAGAGCACATCCAGCCAGTCACAGTCAGAGAAACAGGACTACACTGGAAAACAGACTAAACTCCAACATCTATAAAGAATTTTGTTGATAGCAGCAGCAGAATGTTAGAGGTTGAACTAACAGATTCTGCAGAGTGAGAGAATTGAGATAGAATGATGAAAAAGGGATCCCTTTGCCCTCCAGCAGTCTAAGCCTATAGCAGCATAACTATAGAGATAGATCAGGACAAACACATCATAATCAGCATTTACAGGCCTCCTCCTCAAACATGACAGCCCATAATCAGACACCAAAGCCACATCATTACCTTGAATTCAGACACCGCTTTCCTGATGGCCCTGTCCAGCTCCTCAGAGGACACCCTGACGAAGGTGAAGTCGATGAAATCGCAGTCGATGTCCTGTGTGCCCACGGTGCCTATGGAGTAGGTGCCCTCCTTCTTGTAGTGAAACTTGCCTGTGCTTCGATGCAGCAGGATGGTGTGCAGTAAGGCCAGCATAGCTTCCTCCACCTGCCGGGCCTCCACCGTCACCTCCAGGACCTCCGAGCGACAGTTCATCCTCAGACGTCGCCTGTTTCCATTTAGAGACGAAGAAAACAAGCGAGAGGGTCACGGCAGCTCCAACAGCTCGGATGACGAACGTGTATTATTTGTTTACCTCTGAAAATGGGCGGAGACTTCCGCGCTGTTTCACACCGTTCAACGAAGCACATCGAAGGGGTTTACCCCCAAAACAAAACTAGGTTTTAAGTTAGAAATGGGATTAGCAGGGATAAATAAACAACAGCTAAATTCAACCGGGTGGATGTTTACTGTAAGTCAAGTATGGACGCAGCCATAGATATCTATGGACGCAGCGATTAGCCTGAAGTTAGTGTCCGATTCGGCGCTTCCGCCGCCGATCTGAGTAAAGGGTCATTCCGCTGTTTTGTTTTTTTTTACTTGTTTTATTTAAAAACGGAACTACTTTCATTATTAAGACTCAAATACACTTATCAGATATTAATGTGTTCTTAATATGTGGTTATACTAATTGCATTGCCTTTCTTGATCAGATATTGCATAGAAAATACTTTCTCATTCAACTCTTGGCAAAGATTGAATAGAGATGTGTAGTTACTACTAATATCTGAGGAATAGAATAGAATAGAATAGAATAGAATAGAATAGAATAGAATAGAATAGAAAATCTCTTTATTGTCCCACAATGGGGAAATTGTGGTGTTACAGCAGCGAAAGGTTATAGCAGCAAAGTGGTCACACAATGTGGACCTCGAAAAGTGTATAGAAATAACAGAATGTGTGACAGAGTTAAATAAATAAACAAATAAGAAACTGTACTGTACAGTGTTTTTTTTTACAATGTAAATGTTCTGTATCTGGAGAGTAAATAATAAACAGCTGTGGACATTTTTACAATCAGAGATGTGGAAATGACAACAGCATGTTATTTAACTGACTAAGGTAGAAACTGCAGAATCAGCATGAATGTAACAACTCATTGAGTTTCTTGGGAACAGTGGTGGTTATAAAGTCTTCCAGCTGCTGGGAGGAAGGATCTGTGATAACGCTCCCTGGTGCATTTAGGGTGCAGCAGTGTGTCACTGAAGGAGCTCTCCAGTTCTGCAACAGCTTACATACTTTTATTCCATTTGTAGGATTTTTTTAGGAGGCGTTTTACTGCAAAATGATTTTAATTTTACTCGAGTGATATTATGAAATAGCATCACTTGCACTCAAGCTAAATATTTTGTGACTTCACAGTAAATACACTGCAAGCCTGTTTTAATCAAAATAGCATAATTTTAAGTTCAAAGTTTTATTATTTTTAAGGATACACGTTTTTGTATGGTTTTTATGAGCCTGCTGTACTGATTGGAGGTCAAGTGGAAACACTAAACAGTAGATCAAATCTCTGGAGGTTTCACCCTATTCTAATATGCTTTTTTTAATGCAGGTTTATTTGTTTCTTAAGGTTTACGATGACACATTTTGGTTTGGAAAAGTGTTTCTTTAGCCTGATTTTAAGTAGCTATCATATAATTTAGTTGTATTCTGTTTGTCTGTTCTGTTAGTGTGCAAAGGAATTTAGATTTTTTTGATAGCTATTAATGAATTCAATTCAGTTTATTTCTATAGCGCCAATTCTTAACACATGTCATCTCAAGGCACTTTACAGTTCACCAGATCATACAGTTAA